AGCAGGAAGGATGCTTCTAGGGCACGGTGCTCCCTGTACGTGGTGACTTGCTAGGGGAAATTCCAGGTGCATCAGGAAATGTGAATGTTGAAGCAGCGTCCCTCTACTCAGACGCTGTGTTACTAAAGAGCAGTTGATAAAACGTTTGAAATACAAAAATGTCTTTCACATTTAAATGTTGAGAAATTGAACACTGTTCATAAAAATTTGTTTTCTTTCAAGTGATCCTGGGGTTGGCCCCTGTGATGAGAAGGGTCTAGAATGTGATGCTTTACTGGAGCCAAATACACTTTGGGGCCCGAAAACTGGGGAGCTCAATGCTGTAAGTAGCTTATTTCACATATTTTTTGTTTATGAAAACAATTGATAACATTTGATTTTTGACAAGAACTTGGTCAGTTTAAATTGAAATTGAACCGACTGTCTGACAAGGTGTTATGCCAAGTTAGTAGGGTTGTTGGGATCATAAGACACATATTCTTATCCTCAAAGAATTAATAACTAATAGTTTTTTGGGGAAAAAAAATTGTATGTCGGGCCAGCTGTGGCATATTGGTTAAAGCAACTGGATGCCACATGGCTGACTGTGTGGTTCAAGTCCTGGACCTGGTGACTTGAAAAACCACTGGCCTCATTTGCATGCTTGCCCAAAAATCTTGAGAGCAGAGTAGGGAAGGGACTGCAACCTGGTCGTCCCTCCTGTAGGGGTGCTTTCACTTTCTCTGGCACGTGTACATGCCCTATGGCAAACAAAAGAAAGAAGAAAGGAAAAAAAGTTTTAAGAAATAAAAATAATGTGGTCTTTGGGATTATTACAGACACATAATGTTTTGACGAATGAAGATAGTATGAATGGGTTATTTGTCCCTTATTCTATAAACTTTTTCACTTTTTAAAGTTTATTATTTAATTTGCCAGAGGGTGTGTATGCTCACCAGAGAGGAGAGAGAGACAGACAGAGAAAGAGAAAAAGCACTCCCCAGGAGAGCCCAGGAGAGATAGCCACACCACAATCCGTTCTCTGCTCAGGCATATTTTTCAAGTCACTGGGGTCCAGCACGTGAACCACACAATTGGCTGCGTGGAGTCCAGCAACCTTCGCCATCACACCACTGGATGACCCCTAGAAACCTTTTTATTTAAGACTTATTTGAGGCTGGTAGGTGGCATGGTGGTTGGGGCACTGGACTCCCATGTGGCCGTTCGTGGTTTGAGTCCTGGATCTGATGGCTTGCTTTACCAAATTAAAAATAATAATAAATTAAATTAATAATTCTTTTTTCTAAAGCATTATTTTATTTATTTATTTTTCACTTGAGGAAATGAAATATTTTATGTAAAGTGCTTTATAAGCTCCACACAGCTATATAAATATTCAGGCATTAATATTTATTTATGAATTACATATAAACTAACAGGTTAGATTACTTAAATATCCATCTGTAACCTAGTCTTTTATTTATAATAAAACACGAACATCAAGACATGATGATGGGACCAGCAGTTGGTGTAATGGCTATGTTGCTGGACTCCCTTGTACTCGGCCACCGTTCAGGTCCCAGACCGGGTGGCTTAAACTCATGCTGGACGCATGTGCGTGTATGCCTAGGATCTTGAGAGGAGAATGGAGAAGGGATTGTGGCGTGGCCATCCCCCGGGGGGTGATTTCTCGCCTTCTGTCTCTCTGTCTCTCTCTAGAGGTCTTTCTGGCGCGCACATATGCCCTATAGCAAAAACCACTCCAAAAAATAATAATGATAATAATAACAACAACAAATAGAATTAAATAAATCATTCTTTTTTAAGAATTATTTTATTTAACTTTATTTACTTATTTATTTTAATTTGACCAGAGAGGGACAGCACAGCAAGAGAGAGAGAGAGAAAATGAGAAAGCAAGCTGCCAGGTTTGGACTTGAACTGCACTTGGCCATGTGAGAGGCCAGTACCCTTAATCACCATGCCATCTGCTGGCCTCATTAAATAAATAAATAATTGTTAAAATAAAAAGAAATTAGCTACAATCTGGATAGATGCTGACTTATCCATCTCTTTTTGCTTCTTATAGTTCTTGTCACTGAAAAACTGGACTCTGCAACTGGTAAGTAAGCAATTATATTCAGCTTTCTTGTATTTCTTTCTTCCTAAATTAAAGTCAAATAGGGTCTTATTAGTATCTTATTTTCCAAATTTTAGTTAAATATATTTTTTCTTTCTTAGTTTCTGCAATTTTATGCTTACTAAAAATTCCATTAGGTTGTTTAAGATAGGCATGTACTTTATTATCTGGCTTCATAACCCAGAGCTGTGGTTAAATGGCTTTTTAAAATCACATTTAGGATATTGAACGAAGCAACAAATCTATTCAGTTCAAGTATCTGATTGACTGGTTGATTGGTTGATTTTTTTTAACCTGTTTGTCATTGCTATGCATTCTGCCATTGGTATTTGTAAGAATGGAATAGGAATAGAAATTTGGATCAGTGGTGAGGAAGTGAGGTAGCTAGATAAGAGAAACTAATGCACATGTAATTAAGTGATTGAGGGGCACATTCACCCAGAGAGTGTGCATACTTACTTGTATATGAAACTAATATTGGCAATTATTGTATTTTAATTTGATCTCTTTTTTTAGAGAGAGAAAAATTTTTGCTATAGGGAGTGTGTGTTCACCAGAGAGACAGAGAGATATGGAGAGAGAGAGAAAGTGAGAAATCACCCCCCTAGGGAGGACAGCCATGCCACAATCTGTTCTCCTCCATTCACCTCTCAGGATTTTGGGCACACACACACTCGTGCCCGGTGTGAGTTTCAAGCCTCTGGGTTCAGGACTCAAACCATGGTCAGCCATGTAGGAGTCCAACACCTTAACCAGTCCTTCACCTGCTGCACCATATTTTAATTTGATCTTAGTATCAAGGAACATACATTCACTCCGTTGAGTGACAGAGGTACGATTCAACAAATACTGAGTACTTATTATATACTTATTATATGCTGAGTTCTGTGAAGGAAATAAATTTAAAATATTTGCTATAATCCTGTTATGAATATAGAAATCCTTATGTCCAGTTCCTGGAGGCTGTGTTAGGCAGTAGTCATTTTATCAGCTCTTGTTTAACTCATTCATCCAAAACAAATTTAGAGGAATGTGTTTGAAAGGATTCATGAGTTTGAAAGAATTCATATTGCATCTGTAATGGAATTTTTTTTTTTAATTTAGAAGCAACAATCATTATTTTCAGAAGAAGAAGAATATACCACTGGATCTGAGGTCACTGAAGATGAAGTTGGGGATGAAGAAGAAGTATCCAAGAAACAAAGTATGGGCATTTTACTTAAAATCTCATTATTGATGAAGGAGTTGCATTCTGAAAGCTGTAATGCGAAGGATGGGGAACTGGCTTTATCTAGGTTACAACACAGAAAAGATAAAATAAAAGAGGCTCCATAAAGATTCCCCAAACCCGGCACCAATACTGAACACTCATAAAGTTAAGAAAGTACAGTATACTGAGAAATAATCCTGCATGTTTTCACTTCGGCCGTAACCCCAGGTTATAACCCACACAATGTGTGGCAGCTTAGCCTCACATCAGTAGATCTGAGGTGATTTGCAATGACACTCAAATGAAGATTAAGTTATATTCATTGAAGTATGATCTTTTTTTATTAAAGGTATTATTATTATATAACTACAATAGTCCTTCCTCATCCATGGTTTTGCTTTCTATGGTTTTAGTTACTTGTGGTCAACTCCAGTCTAAAAATATTAAATAGAAAATTTCAGAAATAAAGAACTTTAAGTTTTAAATTCCACATCATTCTGAATAGCATGAGAAATTCACTCCAGCCAGTGATGGACATGAATCGTCCATTGTCCAGCATACCAACACTATATATACTGCCTATTAGGTCAAGTGATGTCAGGTAACTCATGATTTACTTAACGGTGGCCCTAAAGCACAATAGTGATGCTGACATGTTGTTAGAGTTGTTCTTTTTTTTAATCTCTTACTAACCCTAATTTATAAATTAAACTTTGCTGCAAGGATGTTACAGAAAAAAATATAGTTTATATAGGGTTCAGTACTATCTGTGGTTTCAGGCATCAACTGGAGGGCTCAGAACATTCTCCCACAGATAAGGGGAGACTGTTTACAGAATGATGTTTTTTGGCGGGGAGGTTTTTACTGTAGGGCACGTGCACTCACCAGAAAGAGAGACAAAGCGAGAAATCACCCCCCCAGGGGGGATGGCCACGCCGCAGTCCCTTCTCCTCCATCCTCCTCTCAGGATCTTGGGCATGCACGCACATGTGCCCGGCATGAGTTTAAGCCACTGGGTCTGGGACTTGAACTGCGGTCAACTACATGGGAGTCCAGCGAGATAGTCATTACACTAACTGCTGGTCCTGATTTTATAGAATGATTTTATGTAATTATTTTTCAATGTATTCTAAGAAACAGTAGGGTAAATATGTTCAAAGAGTATGTGAAGACTTAGCTATTTAGAAGGCATTTGAAAAAGAATGTTTAAACAACTTGCAAGTTAAACCCAAAACTGATTGATGTCCTACAAGGCAATAAACCATAACCTTCCGGGTTATTTTTTTCTACCAGACAACAGTTGTTTGCTTTTCTGTTAGACACAAAAATCTGTAAATTAATATGTAACTTTAGTTAATAGTAGATAGCAAAGTAGTAGATAGTAGAAGTAGTAGATGTGGGTTGCCAAGACCCTGTCAGGAGTCTGTCTTGCGGGACCAGCAGTTAGGGTAATGGCTATGTCACTGGACTCCCATGTAGTTGATCCTGGTTTGAATCCCAGACCCAGTGGCTTAAACTTATGCCAAGTGTATGTGTGTGCGTGCCCAAGATCCCGAGAGGAGAATGGAGAAGGAATTGTGGTGTGGCCATCTCCACTGGGGGGTGATTTCTTGCTTTCTGTCTCTCTGTCTTTCTCTCTTTCTGGAGAGCACGCGCGCCCTATAGCAAAAACGAGGACCCGCGCCCCCTAAAGAAAAAACCCCCCCAAAAAAAAAAAAAAAAAAAAAAAGAGTTTGTCTTGGAACCAGCAGATGGTGTAATGATTACATTGCTGGACTCCCACGTAGTTGACTACAATTCAAGCCCCTGACCTGGTGGCTTGAAACTCACGCCAGGCACTTGGGCGTGCGTGCCCAAACTCCCGAGAGGAAATAGAGGACGAGGGATCATGGCGTGGCCATATCCTCTGGGGGGTGATTTTTTGCTTTCTGTCTCTTGTCCCCCTCTGGTGACTGCACATGCCCTATAGCAAAAATCTCTCTCTCTCAATAAATAAATAAATAAAAAGATTTTTCTGCTTGTGATCACGATATAAAGTTGTAAGCAATGTAGCAAAAATTGTGAAGCTGGCCAATAAATAACTGATGTTTGGGAAATGATCCTCTAGGAGATTATACTTACCAACATGTGTTGTTTATGCTTCTTTTGCCACCTCCTTTTTTGCCTGTCTTTCTTCACTGCACTAAGCTTTACTTTCCTCCAGGATAGATTCAGAATATTGACTTCAAGAATGCTCTAGTCAAGGATATAATTTTTCCCAAATATATACTTCTTCCCAAGATCATTCCTATCCTACTTCCTATTTAAGATATTTTAAAGGTTTTGTGAATTATTTTCTATCTCTACATTCAAAATTGTGTTTTTCTGAGTTGTAGTTGTTGTTTCTATTTTTTTTTCTTTTTTAGGTTTTTGCCATAGGCACATGTGCTCTGTGGAGAGACAGAGAAAAGGAAAGAGGAAAAGTGAGAAATTCCCCTCCAGAGTAATAACCATTCCACAATTTCTTCTCCATTCTCTCAGTATTTGGGATACATAAACACTCGCACACATGCACACACACAGGCTCAGCATGATTTTTAAGGGTCTGGGCCTCTGGCCATGGTCAGCCATGTGCGAATCCAGCACCTTAACTACTACTCCACTTGCTGGCCTCTGTATTTGATGGTTTAAGTAATTTATTGTCAGAGAACACGTGTGTGAGAGAGAGAAAGCACCCCCCTTCAGTGAAGCATGGTCATGATCCAATCCCCTTTTCACCCTTTCTCCTTCCCAGCAGGACGTTGGACATGCACACATGTGGACCGGCATGTTTTTCTAGCTGCTGGGACTGGGATTCAAATCATGGTCAGTAGTTTAGAATCCAGCTCCCAATGCTTAACACCTGAGCTGTGGAGCTGGCCCTATTGTTGTGGGTGTGTGTATAAATTTACTTATAAATTTGAAATTAGAAGATGACTCCCCTATCTAGTTAGATTCAGAGAAATAAATATGTAGTTTTCCCCATTTTTCTATATCTGATTTCATTGGGACTTTGAATTTATTGTCCTCACTTTTCCCCCAAAATTTTTATGAAGTAAAATTAACAGTAGTAATCAAAATGAATCCCTGTAAAAAGCAAGTTCAGTTTACTTCTCCACATATTTTTTTTTTATTCAGAGATAATTTGCTAATTTTTTAAAAATAATGTGGGTGTGGCCATCAGGTGATATGGTGGTTTAAGTGCTAGACTCTCATATGACTGTGGTTTGAACCCCAGACCTGGTGCCTTGCTTTCTCTCTCTGATGAGCACACATGCCCTGTAGCAAATAATAATAATAATAATGATAATGATAATAATAAATTTGTAATTTTAAAAATTAATTAATCAATGTTTACATTTCATTATGTCTTTATATATTTCTTTTTCCAACACAAATACCATGCATGTCAGTTAAGATAAGGATATTACTATATATATTATCATTGGCAAATATCTTCTAATTTTTTGTCAGTTAAGCATACTTTTACCTGTTTTTTTCTTCCCCCTTTCCCCTCTCTCCTTTCCATTCTAAACTGTTTTTTTTTTTTCTGACATTTTATTGATTCATAAAAGATCTTAAAGTATGGACAAAGTTAGAATCTAGTTACAAGTGCACTGTAATTTTCTTCTGAAACTTTTTTTTTTCTATCCATGCCCCTCTTACTAAAGGGAGCTATAAACTAACTTATTTGAAAAAGGAAAAAATTAGGTTAATCTCAATTTGGTCTGTTATTTGCACAAAGCCGCATAAGAATTCCATTTCTGATGCAAGGCAGCAGATGCTATTGTATTATTGAACTTATGCAAATCACTATTCTGCCACAAAATAAGAATGTTCACAAATATTTTCCAATTGTTACTGAACCCAACAACTCAAAAGAAAACCAAAATCCTTAAATCTGGAAGACAAAGCATAGAAGAAAATCAATAATGTTTTAGAAAAAAGTCATAGACTTCTATTTCACCAGTTCAGTCTCATGTAATCTCTCTTTTGTTGAATTTGCAGTGTTACTGTGGTCTGACCTTTCCATTAACATTCGACATTATTGCTGATATTTTAGAACTTGTCCCTATCATTAAGTTGGCCTTTTTCTTGGTAATTTTTTTTTTTTGTTTTCTTATTTGTCTTAATTTTCCTGGTATAGTACTCCCTGCAGAACTCCTCGAAGAGCTGGTCTGGTGTTAGTAAATTCTTTCAGGTTTTTTTGTCTGAGATTTTTTTTTTTTAAGATTTATTTGTTTAATTTTATTTATTTATTCATTTATTTTATTTTGAACAGAGAGAGAGAGTGCAAACCACCAGGTCCAAGATTCGAACTGTGGTCGACAATGTGGGAGTGTCCAGCACCTGAGCCACCATGCCACCTTCTGGTCCCCTATCTGAGAATGTTTTTATCTTTTTTTCCCATATGAAGGATAATCTTGCCAGATATAGTATTTTTGGTTGAAACTGTTTTTAACTTAACACTTTGAATTTATTTTCTCATTCTTTCCTTGTTTGCATTGTTTCCAGTGGGAGGTCCGATGTTAACCTGATGGGATATCCTTTGAAATTAACTTGATGTTTTTCTCTTCCCAATTTTAATATCTAAACTCTTTCTGTGGTTTTGGTCAATCTGGCAATGATGTACCTTAGAGAAGATCTTCTTGGGTTGATTGTATGTGGGGTCCTTTGTATTTCTTGGGTCTGGATATTTGAATGCCTCTCTAGGTTTAGAAAGTTTTCTTCCAGGATTTCATGGAATAGATTACTAATGCCATGTTTAGTTTCTACACCTTCTAGTATACCAATTATCCAGATGTTTGGGCATCTAATGGTATCTAGTATTATTTGTATATTATTCTCATTCTTTTGGGTTATTTTATTAGTCTTTTTGATAATTTTTTCTAAGTCAGAGGTTCTGTCTTCTACATCTGAGATTCGATCTTCTGCATGACCTTACCTGCTTTTAATACTTTCAAGGGAGGTTTTGATTTCCTGTATTACAGCCTTCATCTCTAATAGTTCTATTTGTTTCTTTTTTATGGTGTGTATTTCCTCTTTCGATTGTGCAAGAACTTCCTCACTTCCTGGAATTCTCTTTTCTCCTGCATCTTCTGGAGCCCATTGCCTTCTTTCTCTTGCATCTCTGTTAGCTTCATCACTATGAATGTTCTAAATTCTTGGGGGTTTTTTTGGAGAGGTTTTTGCTATAGGGCACGTGCGCTGGCCAGAAAGAGACAGAGACAGAAAGTGAGAAATCACCCCCCAGGGGGGATGGCCACACTGCATTCCCTTCTCCTCCATTCTCCTCTCAGGATATTGGGCATGCACGCATAGCACCCAGCTTGAGTTTAAGCCACCGGGTTCAGGACTCAAACCGCAGTCGACTACATGGGAGTCCAGCAACATAGCCATTACGCTAACTGATCGTCCCAAATATTCTAAATTCTTTATATGCTGTCTCTATGAGTTTCATTGTACTGTCTGTGGATGATGAAGGGCTGTTCTTTCCTCTAGTTGTTTCTGGTCATCTGATGGGTTATACGTTACTTCCTACCTGGCTCTTCATCGGGTGTTGGGGTGAAGAAGGGGTTAGGAGCAGAGGCTTTTTGGTTGAAGACCCGGGGCTAGGCCCACCTCAGATGCACATGGGTTCTGAAATTAGCAAGAAAAAGGAGAGGTCAGAGACAAGAGACCTACAGATTTTTAAAAAAATTATGTGTGTGTGTATGTGTGTGTGTGTGTAAAAGAAAACTTTTGAGAGAAAAGGAGAGGAAGTGAGAATGACAGCAACAGAAAGAAGATCATTAATTTATAATTCTAAAGAAAATGTCGGTGGGGCTGGACAGTGGCTCAGCAGTGAAACGCAACACTGCAAGGGATCCTCAGATGGGAAGGTTCCCTGTTCAGGTCCAGAGACCTCTGAGTACCCAGAACATGCACATCCCCGAAATAGTGGACTGACTGAAGACGGGGTGTGGATTATAATGTCAAGACCCTGTTAGGGATGTTTTCTCTCTCTCTCTCTCTCTCTCTTTCTCTCTCTCTCTTCCTCCTTTCCCCTCCTTCCCTCTCCTCTCTCTCTCTCTCCTTTTTATACTCTCTCTCATCCTTTCCCTGTCTCTTTCACTTTTGGAAGAAATAAATAATAAATAAACAAACAAACAAAAATGCGGGTTTGGGGCCAGCCCTGTAACCCAACAGTTAAGAAAACCAGATACATGAGACCAGCAGTTAGTGTAATGGTGTGTCGATGAACTCCCATGTAGTCGATCACGGTTTGAGTCCCGGACCCGGTGGCTTAAACTCATGCCAGGTGCGAGTGCGTGCGTGCCCAAGATCCCAAGAGGAGAATGGAGGAGAAGAGATTGTGGCGTGGCCGTCCCCCCTGTGGGATGATTTCTCGCTTTCTGTCTCTCTATCTCTTTCTCATGAGCGCACGTGCCCTATAACAAAAATCTCTTTAAAAAAATAAAAGAAAGAAAAAATTTAAAAAGAAAAGAAAACTAGATCCAATATGACTGACCACTGTTCACATCTTGGCCACACTGTCTGACAAATGCCAGGTCTGTGTGTGTGTGTGACCAAAATCCCAACAGGATGGAGAGGTAGAGAAGGGATTACAGCTAGACCATGCCTTGTAGGTGGGTGCTTCTGGCTTGTGAATATACCCTCTGACAATTAAAAAAAAAAATGTGGTTTTTTAAAAATTATCTAATTCGGGGACCAGCAGGTGGTGAGGTGGTTAAAGGCTCTGGACTCCAACGTGACTGACCATGGTTTGAGTCTCAGACCTGGTGGCTTGCTTTCTCACTTTCTCTCTCTCTCTTTCTCACTCTCACTCTATCTCTCCCTAGTAAAATTAAAATAAATGAATAAATAAATAAATAAAGTTAAAACATATTTTTTTAAAGTATCTAATTGTTTAGAAGTAGCAAATACGTTGGAGTGGTATTTATGGGACTTAACACTCACAACATTGACCTTCTTTTATCAGGGAAAAAGGAGAAGCCAAAGAAATTCACTAAACAACCAAAAAAACCAATATCTTCACCCTGTACACAGAAGAAAGAAAAGGCATTGGAGAAGGTAACTCTATTACCACTCTAAAGCAGATATGGAAGAAAGAAGCTAGTATAGCCAGGAAAAATCTGAAAGCAAAGAATAATGAATACCATGATAGAGTCCTAGCAGTGTAAAAATGAGTGAAGGAGGTTCTTTATGCACTGAGATTAAAGATCTCTGAGACATCCTGACAAGGGAAAAAAAGCAAGGTACAGAACAGTGTGTATACACATCTGTTTGTGCATGTAAGGTGGGGAATTAATGAATACATGAATTTCCTTAATATACAGATAAAATAGCTTTGGAAAGCTACGTGAGAAATTGATGAGGGGGGACCAGCAGATGACGTAATGGTTACATCACTGGACTCCCACATTTTCAACTGTGGTGTGAGTGTTGGACCTGTGACTTAAAACTCACTGGGCACGTGTGCATACATACCCAAATCCTGAGAGCAGAATGGAGAAGTGATTGTGGCGTGGCCATCTCCCCTGGGGGGTGATTTCTTACTTTCTGTCTCTCCAGCGAGCACATACGCCCTATGACAAAAATCTCACTCAAAAAAAAGGAATTGATGATTGATTACCTCTAAGGAAGGGAACTGAATGCATGGGGGACAGAGACTTTTTACTATATGTGCTATTTGTACCTTTTGAATATTGAACCAGTGTTAGCATATTTTTTTTTTAAATCAGACATTTTTTAAAAGAATTATTAATTAATTAATTAATTAATTTTCAATTCACCAGAGAGTGAGAAAGTGAGACATCAAGCTACCAGGTCCAGGACTCAAACCATGGTCGACCATGTGGGAGTCCAGCACCTTAACCAGCACATCATCTGCTGCCCTCCCCATCAGTAGACTTTTAAAATTAAAAACAAATTTTGTTTTATAACCTTTTGAAATAATTGCTATTTCCCCAGGCCTTTAAAAAAGGGGTAAAAAGTCATATGGGGGCCAGTAGATGGTATGGAGTTTGAGGTGCTGGATTCTACATGACTGGCTGTGCAATTAAAGTCCTGGACCTGGTCGCTTGAAACTCATTCTGAGTATGTGTGCATGCAAGCCCAAAATCCCAAGAGGAGAATGGAGGAGAAGAGATTGCAGTGTGGCCATGCCCCCGGAAAGTAATTTCTCACTTTCTCTCTCTCTCCCTCTGTCTCTCTCTGGTGAGTGCACGCCCCCTATAGGGAAAACTAAAAAAAAGCCAGATAGAAATAGAACAGTGGGGCCAACAGATGGTGTAGTGGTTACATCACTGGACTCCCATATAACTGATTGTGGTTCAAGTCCTGGACCTAATACCTTGACTGTCACACTGGGTGTGGGTGTGTGCCCAAGATCCTGGGAGAAGAATGGAAGAGAAAAGATTGCAGCATGACCATTCCTCCTGGGGGGTGATTTCTTACCTTCTCTCTCACTGTCTCTGTCTGTCTCTCTGGTGAATACACATGCCCTAAGGCAGAAACCTCTAAAAAAAGAAAAAGAAATATGAGAACAGTAAAAACCAGTCAACTAAAAGGAAACATAAAGTCCAAAAATGTGCAAAAGGCTGGAGTTGAGGGACAGCAATAATGGCTGTGTCACTGAACTCTCATGTAGCAGACCGTGATTCGAGTCCCAGACCCGGTGGCTTAAACTCACCCCGGGTGCATGTGCGTGCATGCCCAAGATCCCAAGAGGAGAATGGAGAAGGGATTGCAGCATGGCCATCCCCCCCTGGGGAGTGATTTCTCGCTTTCTATCTCTCTGTCTCTCTCTGTCTTTCTGGCGAACACACACGTCCTATAGCAAACACATCTCCAAAAAAAAGAAAAAAGGCTGGAGTCGAGAGAGGAGCCACACAATTACATTACACAGCTTGTATGAAGGGGTCTTTGAAAAGTATATGGAGAATATATGTTAGGAAAAAACTGTATGGATTTTTTAACAAAATAAACTTGTATTTAATTCCACTTTCCCATGAACTTTTCAACATCTCTTTGTATATTAATCTTTGCATTAAGTACTGTAGGCACAGGGATCAGCAGGTGGTGTGGTGGTTAAAGTGCTGGACATTCCCACATGGCCAGCCACGGTACGAGTCCTGGACCTGGTGGCTTGCTTTCTCACCCCCCCCCCCCCCTCCCCACTGGTTGGGGGGGGGGGGGGGGGGGTAGTCAAATTAAAATGAATGAATGAATGAATGAATGAATGAATAAATCTTTTTTAAAAAGTATAGGCACATAAATGGGACTTAATTCTTTTTTTTCCCTTCCAGTTTTTGCTGTAGGATATGTGTGCTTACCAGAGAAAAACAGACAGAGAAAAAAAGTGAGAAATCACCCTTCAGGGAGGATGACCCCATCTCAGTCCCTTCTCCCCCATTTTCCTCTCGGGATTTTGGGTGAGCTCACACATGCACCTGGCATGATTCTCGAGCTGTTGTGTCTCGTACTCAAACAGCAGAGTCAACTATGTGGGATCCAGCCACTTTAACCTCCACGCCACCTGCTGGCTCAATGGGCACTTCATTTTGAAAGACTGCATAAACTGAAGCTTCAAGATAGTCTTGTTTTGGAGAAATTTAACATCTCTGAACCTCTAACTGTAGAGATAATAGCAATAGTGCCCATCTCACATGGTGGTTACAAGTTTTAAATGAAATAGCACTTGTAATATTCTTAGTATAGTGTCTTCTGCTCAGTAAATGTAACATTCTATTAACTATAACACTAATAAGCAAATATATTCTAATCAGGCCTTAATATTGTCTACTTTTTTTTTAGTCAGCTTCTAGAGATGTGTCTCCTTTCATGTGAGTATTGCTCCTTAATTCAATCAGATGTACACCCTTAAAGCAGCATCAATGTTGATTTTGTTCAATTTTTCCAATAGTGTGAGTATGCAGAAGAATAAATGGGATGCCACAAGATCCTTGAGATTCAACCAAGATGCACAGAGAGAAGATGGTAAATTTTATTATTTGGGTAACATACTAACTGTGTACAAATTACAATGATAGGAATATCTTTCATTTTATGAAGTATGCTGAATACTTATGCTTATACTTATACTTTTATGAAGGTTCACACTTCAGAATAACACCCCAGATTTGCACATTCCCTTGGCACCAACCAGAGTTTCGTTACTAGACAATCCTAGTGGATAATGTATTGCTTTATGAATCTGTGCTTTGAGGTCTCTCAGACTTTTTGTCCTTTACTTTCACTGTAAAGGTAACTGAGTATAATTAGGCTGATCATGGTGACCATGGTGGTATGAGTCATTTCCTTACTAGCTACCTAAAATTCTTTATGGACAGGGACCAGCAGGTGGCTTGGTGGTTGAGGCACTGGACTCCCACGTGGCCGACCATGGTTTGAGTTGCAGACCTGGCAGCTTGCTTTCTTACTTCCTTTTTCTCTGGTGAGCACATGTGTCCTATAGCAAATTTTAAAATAATAATAATAAATAAAATTAATTCTTTTAAAAATTCTTCATAGACATATAGATATATGTGTCTGTTACATAATAGCAAAACTATTTTCATGGGGCAGTACAGTGGTGAAATATGATGCTCTGTGAAGCTGACCCACATGGAAGGGTTCCAGGATCATGTCTGGGGACCTCTCTGAGTGCTCTGGGCTGGCCTGTAAGTATGTGCTTCTGATTTGGCTGACTGAGGCTGGAAGTGGGTTGCAGCATCAGGGCTTAAGGGTGCTGTCTCTCACTAGTGGAAAAAATTAACTTTAAAAAAAAATTATATACACACACACACACACACACACACATATATATATATAGAGAGAGAGAGAGAGTTTATTTTTAAATTTGCTGTAGGGATCATGTACTCACCAGAGAGAGAGACAAACCAAGCCATCAGATCTGAGACTCAAACCATGACCAATCATGTGGGAGTTCAGCACCTCAATCACCATGCCACCTGCTAGCCCCTGGAAATCAACTTTTTCAAAAAAAGACATTGTCGTAAACCCTCAGTGATGACAGTCTTCTTTGAGAAATGAAAGTTGCAGGCCCAGCCACTGTGGTACAGTACTACTGCTAACGTCCCACAGTGCTGGATTCATGGTGACCACAGTTCAGATCCCAGGTTGGCCTGAAAAGCAGACTGGGCAGATGTGCAGCACCAGGATCCTGGGAACTGGAGGCTGGGAAACAGCAGGATGGCATGAGCCTTTCTGGGTATTTTCTATCTGTCTCTCACACTTCTACACTTTCTCTCACGTCTGCTCACACGTGTTCTATCACTGTGAAAAGAAATAAAAGTTATACATCACCCTTAGGAAAATAAAGTTTGGGCCAGCAGATGGTGTGGTCAGGGCACTGGACTCCCATATGGCTGACCACAGTTTGAGTCCCAGCTCTGGTGGCTTGCTCTCTCTCTCTCTCTCTCTCTCTCTCTCTCTCTCTCTCTCGTGAGCACATGTACCCTACAGCAAATTTTTTTTTAATTTTTTAATTAAAAGACAAGTAAGGTTTAATATTTTTTACCTTCAGATCAGCGGCGGATGTCTGAAATTACAGGACACCTAATAAAAATGAGATTGGGTGATCTGGAGCGAGTCAAGTCAAAGGAAGCAAAAGAAGTAAGAATTGTATACTGGTATACTGTACATGCAAAGCCTTTTTACTGTCGTTTTTTTAGCATCAGAAATATAAAGATTTTTTTAGGCAGGATTTTTAAGAGTGACCATCCATGCCGTCGTACCATCCAAAGCATGATTCATAAGAGAAAAAAAAAAAATGGCTAAATCTCACTTTATCAAAATTTCAAAGTTCTAGGGGCCAGCAGGTGGCATAGTGGTTAAGGACGCTGGGCTCCCACGTTGCCAACCACGTTTCGAGTCCTGGACCTAGCAGCTTGCTTTCTCACTACCCCCTCCTTCGTCCCTCTGTGGTCAAATTAAATAAATAAATAAAATAAAAATAACTCTAAAAAATTGTTCAAGTTTTGGTTTTTGAAAAATACTTTTAAGAGAATGAAAAGACAAGTTGTAAACTGAGAACATACATGTAAAACATGTATCTGACTCAAGACTGTTATCAAGACAACGTAAAGAACTCTCAAAACTCAGTAGGCCCAGGCATGGTAGTGCATCCTAGTAGATGCTGCTAACTGGCAGGCCGAGGTCACATAGAAGGTCTGGGCTTTATTTCTGGCTCATCCTAAAATGTGGGCCTGATGGCATGCACCTGTAATCCCAGCTATTCAGGAGACCGATACAAGTAGATCATGGCATAGGGAGATCTTGTCTTTAAAAACAACCAAAAAATCACTAAATAATAAACAACCAACTGGGTCCAGCAGGTGATATGGCGGTTAAGGCACTAGATCTCCCATGGCTGCTGACTGAGTCCCGGTCTTGGTGGCTTGCTTTTACACTTTCTCTCTGTCTTGCTCACTCTACCCTTCTCTGGTCAAAATAAAAAGAAAGAAAGTTAAATAAAAATGAAAAAAAATTATTTAGTTTGAGTACTGGACCTGGCTGCTTGAAAATCTCAGTGGGTGCATGTGCACATGCCCAAAATCCTGAGAGGAGAATGGATGAGATGAGATGGAGGTGTGGCCCTTCTTAGAGAGTGATTTCTCACCTTCCCTCTCTCTCCACTCCTGTATCTTTCTGGCAAATGTACATGCCTTATAGCAAAAACAAAAACAAAGAAACAGGACCTAGTAAACATAAAACAGGCTAAAGAGTAACCAGACACCAAGAAAGAAGGGATCCAGATGACTAGTATAAAAACATCATTAGTCATTAGGGAAAGTAAATTAAAACCTCAATGAGATACCACTATACATCAATGACAATGTCTAATGTTTGTTTTAAATACCCATACCAAGGGACCAGCAGATAGCATGGTGATTAAGGTGCTGGACACTCCCACATGGCCAATCACGGTTCGAGTCCTGGACGTGGTGGCTTACTTTCCCATTTTCCCTCTGTGTGTGTCTGTCTCTGATCAAATTAAAATAAGGGAATAAGTAAATAAAATAAAATAAAATTTTTCATTTTTATTTAACTTTATTAATTTATTTAAATTTTGACCAGAGAAGGATAGAGTGAGAGAGAGCCATCTGGAAAATAGTTGGCAGTTTCTTGCAGGCATTCACCCACCATACAAATCAGTTTATAAGTTGAGAGTAGTCTTATTCATAATCACCGAAAGCTAAGAACCCCCTCCAATGATGTCCTTTGCCTGATATGTAAACAAGCTGTACACACAGAAATGAAGGAGCTCACCCACGTATCAACATGGGTGAATCTCCTTACAGTATACGAAGTGAAAGAACCCAAATCCAAATGGCTGTGTACTGTACGGTTTCCTTTATTTAATGTTCTGAAAAATGCAGAACTTTGGGAGCGGAGAACAAATCAGTGGTTGCCAGAAATTGGAGTGGTGAATGTATTGACTTAGAAGGGCATAGAGGGGTTTTTTAGGGGGTAATTAAAATGTTGTGTGTTCACTATGACAGTAGTTACACAACTGTATATATTTGTCAGAATCTGGAAGTACACACTAACAAGGTCAATTTTACCATATGTAAAATGTACCTCAAAAAGCCTGGACTGAAAAATCAAAATAAAATTACTTCTAACTGGGGCCAGTAGATGGCATGGTGGTTGAGGCGCTGGACTTCCACATGGTTCAACTGTGGTTCAAGTCCTGGACCTGACGGCTTGAAATGTATTCTGGGCGTGTGTGCATGCATGCCCAAAGTCCCAAGAGGAGAATAGAGGAGAAGAGATTGCAGTGTGGCCATCCCTGCTGCAGAGTGGTTTCTCACTTTCTCTCTCCATATCTCTTTGTCTTTAGCAAGTGCATGTGCCCTATAGCAAATCTCTCTTTTAAAAAGAAAAAATTATATCTAAATTTAAAACTGATGTCATTTGAGTAAGGTAGAGCACCTATTGAATCAGTAAAGAGAATTTTGCTTCTTTATTCTGCAGTTTGCAGGAGGTATTTACTCCAGGATTGAAGCTCAAATCAAGGCCTCAGTGCCAGTCAGTGCCCGGCAAACCAGCTCAGAGAAAAACACAAGGTAAATCAGCACAAACTAATTCTGAATGCCATACAATGTGAAGGGGATTTTTGTTTTTAGGGTAAATCATGTGAACACTATTACCACATAATTTGAGTCTGTTTCCATGTTGTTTCAAGGATTATATCATCAAAAAATTAATTAGAGCTAGATTTTAACTTTGAAGGTTAAGATTTAAAAAGGTCATGAGCACATTTAATGGAAGTATAGAGAGGTTTGTTTTTAAGTTTTCTACTTATTGAGCCAACTTCATTCTGAGCCAACTTCTGATTAGAAATGCAAGCCAGGGGCTGGCAGGTGGCGTGTCGGTTAAAGCACTAAACTCCCACATGGCCAGCCGTAGTTCAGGTCCTGGACCTTGTGGCTTCCTTTCTCATTTTCCCTCTCTCTCTCTCTCTCTGGTCAAATTGGAAAATAATAATAAAGTTAAAATAAAAAATAATAATTCTTGGGGACCAGCAGTTAGCATAATGGCTATGTCGCTGAACTCCCATGTAGCCAACCGCAGTTTGATTCCCGGACCAGGTGGCTTAAACTCACACTGGGCGTGTGTGCGTGCATGCCCAAGATCCCAAGAGGAGAATGGAGGAGAAGGGATTGTGGCATGGCCATCCCCCCTGGGGAGTGATTTCTCGCTTTCTATCTCTCTGTCTCTCTCTGTCTTTGTGGCAAGTACACGTACCCTATAATAAAAACCTTTCCCCAAAAAAATAAATAAATAAAGTAAAATAATAATTCTTAAATAAGTAAATGCTAGCTGTAGGCCAGCAGTTGGCATGGTGGTTGAGGAACTAGACTCCCACATGGCTGACTGCAGTTTGAGTTCCAGATATGGTGGCTCGCTTTCTCACTTTCCCTCCCCCAGCTTTCTAGTGGGTGCACATGCCCTGTAGCAAATTTTTTAAAAATAATAATAATGATAAATAAAATAATTCAGTTTTTAAAAAATAATAATTAATGTATTTAATTCTATTTGTTGATATTATTTTTTAATTTGACCAGACAGAGAGAGAGAGAGAAAGGGAAAGCAAGAAAGCAAGCCACCAGGTCTGGGACTCAAATCATAGTCGGCCATGTGGGAATCCAGCGCCTTTAACCACCATGCCACCTGCTGGCCCCAATAATTCATTTTTTTAAATGCAAGCTGTAGTATTACTGTGAATTACTGGAATTGTATTGTTTGTAGAAAATATATAATTAATTAATATAAATAACTGAAGTCTCTTTTCTGTTCCCTGTCTTAATATCTTTTTTTAAACAAAATTATTTCCTTTATTTTATTTATCATTACTGTTATTTTTAATTTGACCAGTGAGATGTAGAGGAAGCAAGCAAGCAAGCTGCCAAGTCTGGGACTGAACTCCATGTGGGAGTCCAGCGCCTTTAACCACCATACCACGTGTCAGCTAATATCTTATTTCTCTTGATAAAATCTGACTTACATGTTTTGTGTCATTTTATATCACAACATTTCTGTTAAAGATGAATGATTACTGGAGGCCAGCTGGTGGTATGGTGGTTAAGGTGCTCGATCCCACATGGCTCCATGGTTCAAGTACAGAGCCAGCAGCCTGTAAAACACATAAGGCGTGTGTGTGTGTGTGCCCAAAATCTCTAGAGAAAGCATTGCATCATGGCCGTCCTCCCTAGGAGATGATTTCCCACTTTCTCTCTCTCTGTGTCCCCCTTGGTCTCTCTTATGAGGGCACACACCTATGGCAAAAATTCTTTTTTTTTTTTTTTTTTTTTTTTTTTTTTTTTTTTTTTTGAGAGGTTTTTGCTATAGGGCATGTGTGCTCGCTGGAAACAGAGACAGACAGACAGAAAGCGAGAAATCACTCCCCAGGGGGATGGCCACACCACAATCCCTTCTCCTCCATTCTCCTTTCAGGATCTTGGGCACGTTCGCACATGCGCTCGGCGTGAGTTTAAGCCACCGGGTCCAGGAGTTGAACCACGGTCGACTATATGGGAGTCCAACGGCATAGCCATTACATCAACTGCTGGTCCCGGCTAAAACTCTTAAAACCAAAAAAAAAAAAAAAAAATAGTAATGATTACTGCCATTTAAAAATTAATATCAAAGATCCCAATGCTAAAACTCTTAAAACCAAAAAAAAAAAAAAAAAATAGTAATGATTACTGCCATTTAAAAATTAATATCAAAGATCCCAATGCCTTTGTAATGATTACTGAGATTTAAAAATTAATATCAAAGATCCCAATGCCTTAGTAGTAATTTCTAAGTCCAGAGAAGCTCAGAAACTCAGAAGTTTTTCTCATGTTTGAGTAAATTCAAACTTGAATTGAGCTGCAGTGATATAATTTATAATTTTTCTTTATCCCATTTCACGTAAATGTTCATTCATTTCATGGAAGAAACATTAATGTATTTTATTGTGGGGCACTACTCCAGATTCATAAAATATAATACTCATACCATATTATCTCTCAATAAACAAAGACAGTCTAAATTCCAAAATAAATCTTACTTCAGGGGTTTTAGAAATGGATTATGGAACTATATGAAGATTCATTTAACTTTGATATTGTCAAGGAAACTTAATGTAAAGCAGCAACAACTTCCTATTGTTTCAGAAACAACTCTGATCTCCTGTTTTGTTTTAAAAATTTAGGTCTAAAAGTCGTTTTGCTCAAGGACGTCCTGCATAAAGCACCTTAAAATATATCTAGAAAGACAGAAGACACACTCCTGGACATCTGAAATTGCTCACTTCTTGAAGATCTTCAGAATGATGACTTCTGAGTGTTTTAAGTTATTTATTAATTATTCCCGTAAGCCACATAAGTCATAGTGCTAAGAGACATGTATAGTTAGGTTTCAAGGAGATCTAATTGTAAATAGGAAACTTCTTACACCTAATTTTCTCTTAGTGTGATTCTAAGCTATATAGAAAACAGTTATTTACAAGTTTGCATACTTAAGTATCCTGGTATTTGTTGTCTTTTATTTATTTGAAAGAGAAGAGGCCTAAAGCTGTCAAGTCGCTAAGTCTTTCTAAAGACTTCCCCTTAAAAAGTTGGGGAACTCATGTGGTAGTGTGACCATGCATGCGCACTGATCGTGGTATGTCTTTGGGGCTGTAAGTCTTGGGGTAGTATTGAGAGCTGAGGTTTGTATGATGGAATTCCCAATGATGCTGATTTTAAGTTTGCATGAACACGAAGAAGTGGCAAATCTCAAGACTACAGTAAATGAAGTTTCAAGGTGAGATATTTCAATACTGTGTTGGGCAGAAGGGTTCCTTTTTTTTTTTCCAGCATTACTCTATGTACAATGTTAATCCAACTTTTTTCTTTCAGTTTTTAATGCTTATCTATTGGTCATTGAAACTGCAAGTACCGATTATTATCTTTTTCCTCTGTGAAGCTAGTGTCATTCTGCATTTGCTAAAATAAGCAATGAGAGTTTTAAGATAATAAATCATTTCAGTTGTGTGAGACACCCACTGTTCAGTTCTCAGGGCTCTAAGACCCAACCGTATTTCCATAGCCAGTCAAGTAGCCCCTTAAAACAGTTATAATTGCTAGTTACTTTAGAGATGCCTAAAACATTTCCAGATACATTAGATGGGTGAAAAATTACATATATTCAAGAAAAATCAAAATAAAATTTATTTTTTAAATCATGTTTTAATTTTTCTAACCAGGCAGAAAGGGTGCTCAGGGAAATTTTGTTCCAAACTGTAAGCATGTAATAAATTATGTGTTTGGAAATTACTTATATGTAGGTCTCTGAAAAACTTTACGATGCACTGTTTCTATTTTTTAATTTTCATTTGCCTTATACTTGAAAATTCAGATTATTCAGAGAACAGACTTTGATAGTGTGTGACAGAATAGCAGTTTCTAATGAAATGTTAAAGTGTTACACTCAGTTTACACTTACATAAACCATCTTTAGTGAGTATTTTAGTTGATAAATGAAGGTAGATGTTATTAGATGTTATCTGTTTGGCTTTGCCAACGTTTCTGAATTTCTGTTTGGAAGTTTTGTTCCAGTCTTTATTTGTTTCAATTGTTTGATACTTTGGAAATAAAACATATCATTTCTGTCTTCAAAAGAAAATGTTTTGTAGTACATTATATGTAAGCCCTGTTAATACCAGAGCCTTGTGGTCTACTGTGCCCGCTGATACAGGGACTTGGGTTTGTACGTGGAAGCAGTGCTGTAATGTCACCGCAAGAAGAGGAAAATGTGCTCTTGACTGTGGATTCTTCTCCCCTGGGAGGACTGTACCAATGAATTGATTTTTACAAACTGGAATCTATTAGAATTTGATTATCTACAGAATGTGTTTCTTTAATTTTGTTAATGTCTGTAATACATAACACATTCACCTCAAACTATTTACTTAACCTCTTAACATCATTTCTTTTTCCAACTGCATTGAAGTTTTACCTTGCATTAATTCTGAATTCACGTTTTTAAAATTGAAATAAACATTATGACAAAAGTTGTTTGGAAAGTCCCTTGATCTGACTCATTCTATCTTTTCAGGAAAAGTCTGGATGGGCTTTAGATTCTACAGATTTTCAGAGAAAACTAACTCTGTTACAAGATGAAATCTTTCAAAAAAAAAAAAAAGATGAAATCTTTCAAATTTTAAGATTGTCTTACAAGGGCCGGCAGGTGGCTTGGTGGTTAAGGGTGCTGGACTCCCACATAGCCAACTGTGGTTCAAGTCCTGGACCTGGTGGCTTGTTCGCTCGCTCGCTTTCTCTCACTCTATCCCTCTCTGGTCAAATTGAAATAAATAAATGAATAAATAAAGAGAGTTTTAAAAATAATTTTAAAAAAAGATTGTCTTACACTGGGGCCAGCAGGTGGTGTGGTGGTTGAGGCACTGGACCCCCACATGGCCAACCACAGTTCAAGTCCTGGACCTGACAGCTTGCTTTCTCAATTTCCCTCTCTCTCTCTCTCTGGACAAATTAAAAAATGATGCTAAATAAAATTAAGTAAATCTTTTATTTAAGAAAAAGGGTCCTGAACCCTTTTTAGGGAAGATCAACACATATTAATTAATAAGGAAATATAAGATATGATCAACACTGTAAGCCAACTAAACCTAGCATACATCTAGTCCATTCCGTTCAACAAGACCACACTCAAGAACAGCTGAATATATATTCTTCTCCTGTACACATGGAACCTTTTCCAGAACAGACCATGTGCTAAACCATAAAACAAGCCTCAATAGAATTGAAAGGATAGAAATACTTCATAATATGTTTTCTAATCACAGGGAATGAAATTAGAAATAAGGAAATTTGAGAAACCCATAGTTACGTTGAAATCAACACATAGCTAAGAACTGAAGGGTCAAGAAAGAAATCCCAAGGGAAATTAGAAAATATTTCAAGATGAATGATAAAAATATACCCAAACTTGGGACCAACAGTTAGCGTAATGTCTGTCGCTGGACTCCCACGTAGTCGACTGCAGTTCGCGTCCTGGACCCAGTGGCTTAAAACTCACGCCAGGCACATGTGCGTACATGCCCAAGGTCCCAAGAGGAGAAGGGATTGCGACATGGCCATCCCCCCTGGGGGGTGATTTCTCACTTTCTGTCTCTCTGTCTCTGTCTGGCAAGTGCACGTGCCGTATAGTGAAAACCTCTCAAAAAAAAAAATATATATATATATATATATACCCAAACTTAACAGGATGCAGCTAAAACAGTGCCTAGAGAGCAATTTGCTACTGTAAATACCTATATCAAAAAGAGAATGCAGGATGGGAAAGTTTTTTTAAGTCAAAAGTAAAATGACTAACAAGTTAATAAAAAACTTTAAAATGGGTTTATGGTACCTAAGCATTTTGTTGTGGATTCACTTGTGTAGCCTATGGCACCACTGTTATGTATTTTGTTTTGTTCACTAGATACGCTGGGTCATCAGAAAGGGCAGCTAGGATTCTTTTGAGTGAAAAAGCACTTAAATGTTAAGGGAAATATAGCTGCTGTACTAGCATTTCAGAGTTGGTCCAGTCAATTACGGTTTTGATCAGTTGTGTGAATCGTCTCCTGTATATCATCCAGGAGTAGCCTCCCTAAAATGTCCAGTTAATGGTTCTAGTCGGCCCTCTAGGTTTGTATGAGAGTAACTGAATTCTTCACGTCCGTACACTCTGAAATCTTGCCATATCCTTATTTGCCCTTCACTTTCTCACTTTCCTCCACCACCTCTCAGAGCTTTGGAAAACTTGTGATTAACGCTCTCCAGGGTGTTACACGTGCATTTATTATATAGAATTTGGTAAATAATAATTCAATAGCTGCTACTACCAGCAGCAGCCTTGCCAAGGTGCTGAGCCGACCAAGGCTGTGCTTAAAGGTCAAAGGCTCAAAACAGATCCTGGGGCCCCACCAGATCAGACTCCTCCACTAGAATCATAAATAAAAGATGAGACATCACAAAAGTAAAAAGGGTTATGAAGGAATACTATACTATAAACAAACTTCCTTTCTATACTGTAAACAAATGTATGTCAATAATAAGAAATAAATAATTCACACACACACACACACACACACATACACACACTAGGCCAGCTGATTGTGCGGTGGTTAAAGTGGCTGGATCCTATTCGTTTTTTTTATTTATTCAATAATAATCAAAAGGAGGGAGAAATAGAGGAGGGACTGTGGTTTGACCAGCCTTGTGGGGAGTGTTCTCTACCATCCACTCCGCCACCGACCCCAGTGAGCACACCCTCTAGTAAATTCAAAAACAAAAACAGGAAACCTACAACCAACTTAATTATTGGTGAAGGACTGTTTGCTTTCCACTAAGATCAGGAACAAGACATAGATGTCTACTCTGAACAAGACATAGATGTCTACTCAGTATTGTAGTGGGGGCCTAGCCAGGACAATTAGGCCATAAAATGACATAAAACATATTTAGATTGGAAAAGAAGTAAAACTATATTGAGAGGTGACTTGATTTTGTATATAGAAAATCCTAAGGATTCATGAAAACATTTACAAATAATTGAGTTTAGCAGGGCCTCTGGATACAAGATCAAAATATCAAAATAAATTTATTTCTGAACATTAGCAGTGGGAAGTATGAAAATTAAGAAAATAATTCCATTTATAAGTAATGTAAGAAAGTAAAAGATGTTTAGAAAGAATTATTTAATATTTTTTATTTTTATTTTATCAAAAAAAAGAAAGGG